GCCTTGAACACATGAATGATGGAGAAGCATTATCCCCTGAATGTACTCACTTGACATTCTTTGAGACGACCCAACCTTGGACTTCCATGTTAGAGAACTTGTTAAAATTGTGTGGCAAAGAACATCTACATAAATTCAAAGAGAACTATTGGAGGTGAGTATCAGGAAAATGAAAAAACAAATAACAAAACACAGCAAATACTCATGAGAAATATTTCGACTTTGGAAACAGGTATCTGAAAGTGTAATTAGATTTATAAATGCATTTCTAGGAATCATATTTTTGTAAATGAAGTCATGTGAGACTCTGAGATGTTACACTCACACATCTTCATTTGGTTTAATTGTAGGCATACAGGAACACCCTTAGTTACAACTGTGTGTTATTTCTTTTTCCCAGAAGTCAAACAGTCCATGAGCGGTGGGAAAGGATTGAAGACACTCCCCCTGGGAACATGCACATTAGATTTCCAAGTTATTCCTGCAACCGTGTCGACATAAACCTGTTGAGGAGTGACGTTAGTGACAGTCGCCATGAATGTAAGAAATGTGGCAAAGATTTCTGTACCTTCTCTTCATTTTGGATCCATGTGGTAGATGAACATCAACCTACAGAATGTGCTGAAACCTATAGGAATCCTTTCCCTTTAGTTTCCAAAGAAGCATTTAATTGTCTAGAAAAGCTTTATGAATGTATTGAAAATGGGAAACCCTTTTCTTCTTCTGCCCCCCTTACTAGTACTTCAGATAGCGCAGGAAAGAAAGACATTGACAATGTAGAGAAACCGTATAATTGTATGGTATGTGGAAAATCTTCTTATTCTTTGTCATGCGTAAGGACACATGCTAGAACACAGACAGATGGGAAACCTTACGAATGTCACCAGTGTGGGAAAACCTTTCATCAGCTTTCTCTTTTAACTCTCCATGCCAAAATGCCCTCAGGAGAGAGACCTTTTCAGTGTATGGAAGGTGAGAAGACCTTTTCATGGTCGGATCACCTCGTTAAACAAAGAGGAATTCACACAAGACAATATGAATGGAAGGAATGTGAGAAAGGATTTTTAGAATTCAGGCACCTCATTAGACATAGAATAGTTGACGGAGGACAGAGACCTTATAAATGCAAGGAATGTTTGAAGACCTTTTGTCACTTGTCTCATCTTAGAGGACACACAAGAACGCACACAGGAGAGAAGCCTCTTGAATGTAAAGAATGTGGGAAACCGTTCCCATGGTTTGCTGATCTCAGGGAACACAGAAAAATTCACACAGGGGAGACACCTTATAAATGTACAGAGTGTGGGAAAACATTTTCTCAGTCAGGTAGTCTCAGTTCACATAGAGCAGTTCACACACAAGAGAGATCTTATGAATGTCAGGACCATGAGAAAACATTTTCGCAATCAAATAACCTAACTGGACATAGAAGAGTTCACACAGGAGAGAGACCTGACAAATGTCAGAAATCTGGGGAAACATTTACCCAGTCACGTGTCCTCACTGAACATAAAAGAGTTCACACAGGAAAGACGCCTTACGAATGTCAGGAGTGTCAGAAAACATTTTCACATTCAAGTCAGCTCACGTTACATAGAAGAATTCACTCTGGAGAGAGACCTTACGAATGTCAGTATTGTGGGAAAACATTTTCACAATCAAGTCACCTCACGTTACATAGAAGAATTCACACTGGAGAAAGACCTTACGAATGTCAGGAATGTGGGAAAGCTTTTTTACATTCAGGTGCCCTCACTATACATAGAAGAATTCACACAGGAGAGAGACCTTACGTATGCCAGGCATGTGGGAAAGCCTTTTCAGATTCAGGTGCCCTCACTGTACATAGAAGAGTCCACACAGGAGAGAGACCTTATGAATGTCAGGACTGTGGGAAAACTTTTTCACAATCAAGTCAGGTCACGTTACATAGAAGAATTCACACAGGAGAGAGACCTTACAAATGTCAGGAATGTGGGAAAGCTTTTGCAGAATCAAGTGCCCTCACTGTCCATAGAAGAGTCCACACAGGAGAGAGACCTTACGAATGTCAGGACTGTGGGAAAACATTTTCATATTCAAGTCAGCTCACGTTACATAGAAGAGTCCACACAGGAGAGAGACCTTACGAATGTCAGGACTGTGGGAAAGGTTTTTCAGATTCAGGAGCCCTCACTGTACATAGAAGAGTCCACACAGGAGAGAGACCACATGCATGTCAGGACTGTGGGAAAACATTTTCACAGTCAAGTCAGCTGAAGATACATAGAAGAATTCACACTGGAGAGAAACCTTACGAATGTCAGGACTGTGGGAAAACATTTTCACAGTCAAGTCACCTCAAGTTACATAGAAGAGTTCACACAGGAGAGAAACCTTATGAATGTCAGGAATGTGGGAAAGCTTTTTCAGATTCAGGTGTGCTCACTGTACACAGAAGAGTCCACACGGGAGAGAGACCTTACAAATGTCAGGAATGTGGGAAAACATTTTCTCGATCAAGTAATCTCACCGTACATAGAAGAATTCACTCAGGAGAGAGACCGTAGGTGTTGCAGATGGAGGGTAAAGTTTTTTTAGAATTATTAATGAGACAGCCTCCCAGGAATGATTTAGAACAGAGAGTGTGAAAAGCAGGGGGCCAACAGTTCTCCACTGAAGCCCCCCAGCCATGCTTCCTGAGTATTTATGGAGAATCATAGGGGAGGTGAACAAAGTAAAATCCTAAGGAAGTACAAAACAAACACAAGGGCTCATGGGGAA